TAATGTCAATTTAAAACTCAAGTAGAATCCTACAAGGTATTGTAGAAACTTTATTTATTTTTTTAATTAAAATAAAAGATTAGAATCTTTCATTTCTGTAATGAAATTTTAAAATTCCAGCATATTTTATTTGAATGAAAATTATTAATTAAGTTCAAGGTTTATTGCAGAGATCTTGGCAAAACTGTAAAAGGAGCGTAGGTACCATAAATTTTATTATACACTTTTCACGTGAGAGGTATACCTATTTAATCTGTAATTGCACGGTAGAACAACTGTGCAGTACTGTAGTTTCAATTCAAAGCAATCAGTTTGTCCTGGTTATTAGATTATATTTCCAGCTAGAGAGAAAAATGAAAACCGTCACAAAGAAAAACTGAAATATAGTGTACTCTACTACATTCACTCTGATTCCTATACATTTGGATCTTTTAGTACACCAAGAAACCTTCGTTATAAGGGTAGATGAGCGTAAAATCTTAATTTCATGGAATTTTCTTTAGATGCAAAAATGTTTTGGGTAATTTTTTTTAAAGTTCCTTACTATAATGTCCTGTGCAGAATATCTGATACTCCAGTAAGATCCAAAAAGAACAACACATCTTGCAAATGGAGATTGAAAAGGAAGAGCTAATGAGGGTGGGAAGAGGAGGCTTGAATTGCTGAAAGTGAACTGATTCTAGTTAGACCATTCACAAATCCTTGAAAACATTTACAGTGGAAATCTGACAGATGATGTTGTCTGAAATATGACTGGGGAGGTCTATAAATAGCTCCCAAACTGAAGGCCCTTCCTTGATGTAATCCTGATAAAATTTGAAGACAGTAAGAGAGAGGATCCAACTGATCTCAGTTGCCTTTTTTTGAGAAATGTTGGAAGAATAAGTACTTAATTAGCTTTGTAATTTTTAAAAATTTAAGGAAGCATCAGTTATTCTTGATACTGATGGCCAATGTGTGCTACATGGATTCCGTAACAATATCATTAGTAATCCACAAGTTTCTCAGAATAGTCATATCTACCCACCTGCTGGTATCACTGTCTCCTCTGGGCTAAACATAAATCACTCAACCCTTGCCAAACAACGCTGCATCTGGCTGTTTCCAAAGCTCCTATCACCATAATATCTAGGTATTAGTTTGCCAGTCCTCAAAGAGCTGAACAATCTAGTGGTATCTCAGCCTATGACTTAGGAGTATCCCCTGAAGATTTCAAATATATATTGAATAATAATGGTAGTGAATGAAAACACAGCAGTACCTTACAAGGAAGGTGTGGTGACAGCCTCACTCCACCTTTTGAGAGATTTCCTTCAGTGAATAAGCTTGAAACCACTGAAAAATAGTTGCGCACACACAGGGATTGCAGACTAGTCACCAGCACCTCAAGATCGACAGGTGGATTAAAAACAGGATTAATAAATGTGCAGGTTTGGACTCTGGAAAGCCTGGAGTGCTCTGGATGCAAGAGGGTTGCCAAATCCAGAGTGCTGTGGTGTTGTGGGGACAGGAGAGTAGGAAGTAGTAGGGGAGGGAAAGGACCAGGAATGCCATGGAGACTTCCCATTGAAAGTTTCTGTGGCTGGGTTGGATCTGGGACCATTTAGTGTTGTTCTGCCATGCTAATTCCCTGTAGTAAGAGCTCCTTATGTTAGGTTGATCAGCTAGACCAGTGATCTCCAACCTTTTTATGCCCAAGATTACTTTTTAAATCTAAGGGCAACCCAGGATCCTCCCCCACCCATCCCCCAAAGCTCCGCCCCGACTCACTCCATCTCCCCTCCCCCCATCACTTGCTCTTCCCCACCCTCACTCACTTTCACCAGGTTGGGGCCAAGGGGTTCACAGTGTGGGAGGGGGCTCTGGGCTGAGCCTGAGGCAGGGGGTTGGGGTGCAGGAGGCAGTGAGGGGTTCAAGCTCTAGGAGGGAGTTTGGGTGCAGGAGGGGGCTCCAAACTCTGGGCTGGGGCAGAGTGTTGGAGTGCAGCAAGGCTAAGGCAGGCTTCTGCCTACCCCGGCCTCACACCACTCCCAGGAAGGGCCAATGTGCCCTGTGGTAGGGTGTCACATGGCTCTGGAAGCACTGCTCCCACAGCTCTCCCCGCCAATGGGAGCTGCGGGGCTGGTGCTTGCAGGCAGGAGCAGTGCATGGGGAGGAGACCCCTGCGCTGGTCGCTTCCAGGAGCGGTGTGAGGCTGGGGTAGGCAGGGAGTCAACTGGTTGGTGACCACTGAGCTAGACTGACAGGCCTAGAGAGAAACCAGACTGAAAGATAAATCATCTTAAACTGTCATTTGCAATAACACATCTTAAACTTCCTTTGTTAGGAAGAGTGTTGATCCCCAAGATGTTAACACTGAAAGATGGACAGAACTATAGGCATTTCAAGCACTGGTGGGGCTTTGCATTATGAAGTCAGCTTCACTAAGAGTGGACCTACGATATATACATTGGCCTTTTGTGCATCTTACAGGGTCACAGGTACATACTGTATGTGGCTGGCTTGACCTAGGAGTTAAAATATATTGGGCATTCCTCTCCTGCTTGGATACAGCAAATGTAGTGTCAGACAGCCAAATCTTGCCAAAGAATGAAGAAACAAGGTCACAATGGACAACTGTTGAATCAGCTGTAGGCAAACTAGAATCAAAATGTTTGATTCCAAGTGCATTGTAATATACTTCAGTTTAAAATTGTTATGCCAATTATGTAGGCACAGTACTTGTATGTTTGGCCTTTTGTGGACTTTCTGATACCTTTGTTTTGACAGATGGTATGCAAATGAGGAAACAAACTTGTGAAGCAAGTGGGCTAATGCTGCAATGTATGTTTATTTTATAGATTATGATGGCCTCAAAAAGTCATTGATCTCTATTGCATTATTTGAATGTGTGATATTGCCTGGCCAATAGTCATCATTTGTTTAATAGACTTTCAGATGTAGAAAACTCCTATTTTGCGATTAAAAAAAGGAAAAAAAACCAATCCTAACCCACGTTCTGCATCTGCGTCTGACAGATGTGTGAGGGAACTAAAAACAATTTATGTCTAGGAACCAGAAAGCATAGCTGAAATGAGATTTTGAATTATTTTAGTAAATTATGGGGGGACTTACACATAAGACTAAACACTTGACTATCTGGGTTTTAAATAGTCTGTAGTTTGGTAAAAGATTTGGTAACTAAACAATGCTCAAATAAGTCTGAGTGAATAATCCCCCTCTCTTCATTTTATAAATTAATGTGGTAAAGTCAAAATGCTGGATATATCACTGTTTCCATAGCAACAGAAAGTTATAAGCATAAGATTAAATTTACTGCATGATCATGGGGAGTCTCTCAGGTACCTCTTACGATAACACTAGTAGATTCTATAACAAACTAAAACCAGAAAAATACTGACTAAGTCACTTTTTTGTATAAATGTATCACTTCTAGAAGTTTAACCCAGTGTGAAATTTCTTCTTGAAACTACTGAACACAGTATTAAAAAACAAAACCCCTTTTCTGGAACATCATGCACCAACCTTCAGAGCAAAAGCACGTTTCCAGGGCCTTTATATATACAGATAGTGAATATTCAAAACATGCATAAATTAACTACAACAATACTCGTGGGATCTTCTATAACAAACATGCAACACTAAAGATGTAACAAGGGGTTTCTCTGTAGTTTTCAGCTAGATTGTAAGAAGCTGTGTCAAAGATTACTTAATGCAAAAAAAAAAAAAAAGTGCCATCTAAATATTAGAGACACAGGGTGGGTGAGGTAATAACTTTTATTGGACCGATTTCTGTTGGTGAAAGAGACAAGCTTCTGACCTTACACAGAGCTCTTCTTTCCCATGCCTGAAGAAGAGCTCTGTGTAAGCTCGAAAGCTTGTCTCTCTCACCAACAGAAGTTGGTTCAGAAAAAGATATTACCTCACCGATCTTTTCCCTCTATTAACTTGGGATCAACAACACTGCATATCTAAATAATCAGGGTTTATTTTGACAGTACGTACAGACCTGTACTCATAGCTCAATTTATTTTTAAATTTTCCATGTGGATACTAATGATGATATTGGGAAATACAGAGTTGTCAGTTTTATAGCTCTGAAGATTTACTGCACATTTAGTAAACCTATTTCAGTTGCATTTTTCTGTAAAGGGAATAGAAGGATAATGCTTCTATTAAAGTGATCAAGTACACACAAAGAAATGGATTAGGAAGATGTATGAAAATGCTTTTAGACGAATCCCATTTTCATGTGTAAGTCGCCTCTCTGGTGTATATAACGGTCTCATAATATCTTTGGTAATTCTGGAAGTACAGTGCTGGTAATAGTGGTCGTGCACACTGATGTTTAGAAAGGAAAATATATATATATATATATATAAATTGCTTTGTAATAGGTCTGGCAACCGACTGCTAGGATGCTGCTTTGTAGAAACTCACAGCTTTTTATGTTTAGCATGTTCTTAAATAGAGAACAGTTCATTAGAACTTTTAATTAAATGTATAACTTTCAGAGTTATTTTGCTGTATTCTTTAAATATTCTGTTACAGTGAACAAGAACAAAAGCACTCCCCCCTTGCTCCCCCATGGGACAGCATGCCTTCATGCTTCAAGACATTAATATTTCAACAGTCACATTGGATAAAATTGAACATTGGATGAAACCTAATTATTTTTCTCATTCCTGTGATGTGATCTTATCCAGGTTCATTTTCTTATATTTATATTCTAGTGAATTTCATTATAAATCATTCACAGTTACCTGACAAACCTCTTTTCCTTTAGAAATAGCATTAGTAAAATTCAAAAGACCAAAATGCAAATGCTTTGTCTTGCCTGCCTTGTTTTTCTATATTGTATGATTTTTTTTTCTCCCCAAAGTGCTTCTGTATCTTGGGGAAAAATATGAAATCATATGTTCCTTTGCTCTTTCTATAGTCTGTTAATTCTGATAATCTGCCATGGTTCCTTTCTCATCCCTTTCATCTGCTTTGTACAGATGTCCTCCTCTGATGCTGTTCTGCCTTTGGCACCTTCTCCTTCTCTGCAAGCTGCTGCCGAGAAGAGCAAATTGGAGGTATCTCTTTTCTAGTGTAATTTTTTGTCAGCCTACATATTATAATACAGTGCACAGATTTGTACATTTGATTTTATCCATAATGTAGAGTAGCTTTCCCGGGATTTAGCAGAGTGTTTAATTGTCTTTGTTAAAAGGAACTCAGACATTTTAAAACAAGCCACAGGCTTTTCTACACCCTGTTTCCCTGATCACATACGTAAAAAGAGCTAGTGCCTCTAGCTGTATGATTTTTCCTCTCTATATAATTATTTTGATTATTATTAGCATGTTCAAACTCTTACTGTTGTCCTACAAAGCCATGTAAAGATACCTTCACACCACTAGCAAAGAGGCATGAGTTTATCCCTTTTTCTTAAAGCATTACTTTGATTAGGCAACAAGCCTCTGCCCTGCAGTAAAACAAGATTTCTAAGATTGCTTTAGAAATCTCCCCTGAAAGGGCACTGCTATTCCAGCCAAGCCATCTAGCAGGTCTGCCTTTTTTTAAAACTAATTTCAAGGGAATTAAAAGCCCATAAATACAGACCCATTTGGTGGAATTTTCACTAATTTAAATTTTGTCATTCTTTTGAATTTTCTTCCAGTTGTGGACAGTGTATAGATATTGAAAAAAATCATAACCTCCTAAAACATTGTTCAACATTTAGAACACTGACACTGTACACAAATATAGGTGGTATATAAGGCATCCGCACTAATGCATGGGACTGTTGTGGTAGAACCTGTATTCCTCTTTGAGTAGTGTCCTTATGGGTGCTTTCCCCCCCCCTTCCGAACTGGGTTTCAGGAAGTGTTTCTGTTGCAAAGCATCTATCCCAGTGACTAACGGACATTCTTAGTGCGTTTGCTGTCTGGGAGAGAACCACATCCCACACAAGTGTGGTTTATGCCAGCAATTGAAACCCAGATCCAGAAAGGAGAGAGAACTGGGACTCAAGCTTCTCCTAATGGAAGCACTCCTCCAACCGCCCTCAGAGTCACTCCAAGACTCTGGGTGGTGGGAATTCTCACTGCAACCCTCTACATCTAAGGGAGGTGAGCTGAAGAAGTCATCCATGAGCCAGTCTCACAAGGCTTCTAAGAAAAGTGCTGTGAATCCCCACAGCAAGCCGTGACCGAGCTGAAAACGTTCTCCAGTTCACTTGGAATCATCGGTACCGATGGCACCAAAGCTGTCTAAATCAGGTACCCAGAGCTCACGTTACCGCCCTGATAGAATATTATGGGCTGCCTAAGGACCCAGTGGGCACAAGCAAAGACTCATCGGTATTGAGTGCGAGAAAAATAGAGAATCCACACTGGGGAAGGCTCCTTTGGTGCAGGCATTGACAGTTGTTCCATCTTGGCATGCCAGGCACTGGTGGACTGCACAGTAAGTACACATTGCCAACTCCTTTGTTGCAGATGTCTCAGCTCTGCCAACTGCTACCAGAACAGATGACTGTGGCATTGCCGGACTTCTGGTACGTGACAGATCTTTCGGTGTCTGTTGCATTCGACTTACCTCTACCTGGTAATGAATCCACTCAGAGATCCATACTTGTCAGTGACATCATGCCATGCCCCCCCATTTTTGAGTGATGAGTCACAATGAGCAAGACGACAGTCTCCTGTCACTCTTCTCATTCACCCTATGGTACTCATTTCCCAAATGGGCCTCAGCTGTACCGCCCCTCTGGCACCCAGCCTCCTTGGTAGGGGCAGCCTTCTGGGTCCTTCCCACGCTCTGTGGCCTTACTGGGACCCTTGGCAAGCCCATAAACACTGTGCCTCCCATGGTTCTGGCTCGGCCTATTCAGGCCTGATGAGACACCCTCCTTCGGCTGCTGCATTGAGGGTCGTTCGAGCCCCCTGAACACTGAGAGGAGGGAGATTACCCTCCAGACCAACTTCTCATCTCCATCAACAGATAAGAAAGTGATGCCCACTCTTCCATTGTTGGCAGACGCCTTTAAGCTTTTCCAGGAGCTAGCTCAAAGAGTGGCAGATGCATTAAAATTATCATTACAGGAGGTGACAGAGGCACACCATAAACTACTGGACATTCTATGCATCTCTACTTTGTTCCGAGTAGCCCTCCCTATTAACCAAACTCATATGGCAGACCCTGGCATCAGTACCACCAACATGCGAACAGGCTGATTAAAAAAAAAAATTATGTACCAGCAAAAGAGACAGATTTTTTTTTCTTCTTCCACCTGCCCCCTAATTCAATGATTATGGATGCAGAAAACTCAAGAGGCTGTCAGCATCACCTGAAATCCACCCCCATGACTGGGACTAGCAGCCGAGAAAAATATACTTTACAGTTCCATATTGCAAATGATCAAGTCCTAATGGCAAAATCTGATTACATCAGCTACTTAAACTCAATTCCTTTATTGAGCAGCTCCCAGAATCTCACAAGGACCAATTCAAAGCTATCATTAACTAAGGCCAACTAGTGGCAAAGATGTCACTCCAGTCTGCATTCGACGCAGCTGACAATGGCATGTTCCATCATCGCTGCCATCATGATGAGACGAGTCTCTTGGCTGTATTTATCCAGTTTCTCCAAAGAGGTGCAAACAACTGTGGAGGACCTTCCCTTTGAAGGCAGAAAATTCTTTATGGAAAAGGCGTACTTTTTCCTCCTCACTTTAAAAGACTTCAGGGTTACTCTTCAGTCTCTCAGAATCTACACAACTGGGCAGAAGAGAGAGTATAGTTCTCAGCCTTCGTTCAGGCTCTGGTTGTCACAATATTCATCCCAACACTCTTCAGAACCCCAAAGAAAAGTTCAGGTTCTCCAAACGGAAACCTTCAGGTCCTTATCCTACTTCTTCACAGCCATCCACCTCAAAACGACAATTTCAAAGGGTTGGTCCAGGTGCCATTAGACCATTCTCTTCAATACCATCCAATGTTAGCATCCATAGGGGTGAGCGGGGATTTCTGTCTCACCCCATTCCGCTGCACCTGGGAACGGGTAACCTCTGACAAATGGGTACTGGATATTATTTGAGATGAATACTCCATCCATTTCACCCCCTTCCCCCACCCTAGTGTCCTTCCCCATTCCACTTCAGGGACCCTTCTTATGAGACCCTAGTCTATCTCTTCTTGTAATATCTCCTCACCATTGGAACCATAGAACCAGTGCCCCCTACATCTAAGAGGCAAAGGCTTTTACTCTCACTGCTTCCCGATACCCAAGAAAAAGGGACGTTGGAGATCCATACTAGACCTCAGAGGGCTCAACAAATTTAAGGCTCAGAAGTTCAAGATGGTCACTTTGGGAATGATTATTCCAGTGTTAGAAAGAGGAGACTGGTTTTCAGCCCTTGACCTTCAAGATGATTGCTTCCACATTTCGATCATACCATGTCACAGAAGATGCCTCAGATTCATACTAGGCCAGGACCACTACCAATACAGAGTACTCCCTTTTGGCCTCTCATTGGCCCCCAGAGTATTCTCCAAGGTCATCTCTATGATTGCGGCCTAGCTATGCTCTCTGGGCATTATGATCTACCCTTACCTGGATGATTGTCTCATCAGGGCACATTGCTTCTTCGAAGGCCCAGCGAGTTACCCATACCACTCTGGATTTGTTCAGGAATCTGGGCCTACAAATAAACACACACAAATCAACAATTAATACTGGTACAGTAACTAGAATTCATAGGAGCCAACCTCGACTCCGTATGAGCAAGAGCACTCCTCCCAAAACACAGATTCCTCAGTCTCTCCATGCTTATGGAGACCATGCAATCCAGCCCTCAAATATTAGCCATACACTCCCTTCAGCTCCTGGGGCACATGGCCGTAGGCACATAGGTGATAGTTCATGCCAAACTTTGCATGAGATGCCTCCAATCATCATGGGTCAGTTTGGTTTATAGGCTGAACAAAGGCAACACAGACAAACTGCTGTCGTTGCCCACCACAATCAAACACATCTCTCATACAATAGGGCGCACATCTTAATAATCTTACAGTGCAGGGCAAATGGGCTCCATCTGAGATGTGCCTTCACATCAATCTATCAGAATTCAGAGCGGTCAGGAATTCATGTGCTCATTTCCTTCCACTGATCAGAGGTGTACACACACAGGTCATGATGGACAATATAGTGTGCAAGTATTACATTTATCCATGGAGGCGCCAGATTGACCTCCCTTTGTGCGGAAGCACTAATGCTATGGAACTGGTGCATTTCCCACAATGTTGCAGTATCAGCGGCCTGCCTACCAGGAGTACACAACACGACAGCAGACAGTCTCAGCAGCAAATTCCCACACTATCACGAATGGGAGATAGACTCAGTGATGCTCCACGACATATTCTGACAATGGGGGACACTGATGAGAGGCTTGTTTGCAACTTACCAGAACAAGAAACGTCTACGGTACTGCTCCACCGCGGGCATTGGGGGACACTCCTCCTCCTCCTCCTCCCCCCATGGGACAAGGACCTTCTTTATGCCTTCCCCCATTTCCTCTGTTGCTGAAAGTCCTGCTGAAAATAAAGAGAGAAAGCAAACATCATACTAATCACTCCCACCTGGCCCAGAGAGACATAGTACCCTTAACTGTCTCAACTGGTGCTGTGTCCACAGGAGACTCTTGCAACCACTCCTTATGTCCTCTTGCAGAATGAGAGATGCACTCTTCATCCCAGCCTGCGGATACTATGGCTCAAAGCCTGGCCCCTTCATGGTTCCAACACATAGAGACGACATGCTCTGAAGAGGTATCAGAAGTATTATTACATAGCAGGAAAGTGGTTATCCATTGTACTTACCGACAGAAGTGGACCAGATTTCAGATCTGGTGCAAGTCCAAAAAAGTCACCCTGGATACGGCCACTCTACCCTGTAGTCCTAGACTATTTGCTGAATCTCAAGAAATCGGGACTCTGTTAGCTTGCGAAAAGTACAGTTAGCTGCGATAGCGACCTTCCACCAGCAGGTAGAAGGGTACTCAGTTTTTCTCCACCTAACTATGGAAGAGGTT